TGCTGACCATCCAATCAAAGGAGGAGAAAATGCTGACGTTATCGTTAGTCAGCTAGATGGCCCTGGTGTTGCCAACTCGAAATCTGATTGGTTAAAGCAACGGTTTCATTGCCATTGATTTAAGCTAACAGATGCCAGCCCTGTTGATTCTGAAGGCCTTAAGGCAGATTTCTTTGACCCTGGCAACACGATTGCTGAAATATGATTGGATAAAAGCTCTAATATAAACATACACTGCTGGAAGCAGTGCAACCAAGAGAAAAGCTATGAACTGAAGAGAATAGACTATTGGAAATAATTTAATACACATTCATGGAAAAATATATTAAAACTAAATCAGTGATTCTGATGTGTTTAGGCCAGCAGAGAAGGCTTTGCTGGCCCTGACGGCCCACCACTGGAAGAAACAGCAGATCAGAGATCCTATAGGGCTCCATGTGGTACTGGCAACAGCTTAAACATCAGCTCTGATATGTCTGGAGTGCATGAGAGAGCTGAGCAGCAGATGTGCTGGTGTTGGGGAGAAGCTCATGAAGGGCTTTCTTAGTGAGGAGTCTCTAAACCTCACTGCAACACATTAGAAGTCAGAAAAAACACTGGACGGAATGAAATATTTTTGTTCATTTGTGTTTATTATTAAACTATATTACATTAAAAAGCTCTTGCAAATCTTGTTATCCTTGCTGACCCACTCCGCTCAATTATCCTGATGTTTATAATCCCAGAAACGCTCCTGGCTTTGGGATCTTGGGACTTTTACACACTGAAGTAAACATGTGTTTGTATTTTACAATCAGTGTTGGGCTCGTTACTCCAAAAATGTAATGTATTACTCGTTACTAGTTACTCCTTTCAAAAGTAATATTATTACTTTACTTATTACTTTCTGGCAACAGTAATTAGTTACACTACTAGTTACATTAGTTTTCCCCATAAAATTCTTCTAAATTGTTACTAACAATATATTTCTGCCTCATCATTTGATCAAAATCCACACTGGATCAGTCAGAAGTTATTACAAACACTCAGTGATGATTGATAGTGACTTTTCAGTAAAAGTGTTGTATTGATTGTTATGTGTGGCTTGAAGCTAATTGTAGCTATAATTTCTCTGTTACCCATATATGATTATATTTCATGAAGTATTTTATCAGAAGAAATCACATAAGTTCATAAGATGTTTAATTATAGTAATATAATTAATATGGGGATCAGAGGGATGATGGTGTAATACCAGAGTAAAGTAACTTACACATCTGTGTTCAGACTCCTGACTAAACCAGTGTAATGCCAATATTTCCATCCACTTAATGTCAGTTTGTCCATATTCCCAGCTTTCCTGATGCACTGCTGACTTCATGTGCGAGTCCTGAGAATTATGAACAACACAGTTGAACAATGCATTTTTAATTACCGTTAAGATTAATATAGGTAATAAAACAATACGAAACACTAGGAAAAGTGGAGAGACTTTGCCAACATTCAACAACGTACAGAATGAATTAATCAAAGACCGCATTAACAGCGGTTGCTGTGCGTTTTGCCATTGCGGGATTCATCCAATCAGACTTCACTCTGTTCGGACCTGAGCCAATCACTGTTCAGACCACCCGAGGCAACAGCCAATCATCTTCCAGAAAACCGCCTGCTTTACTTTGACCGGTAACCAGTCAGTGAGGGGGTTTTCGCGCTGTCAGTCAAGACAGATCAATAACTTCACACCGCGTCCGATAGTGATCAATAATTGGAAATCTGCCGAAGTTGGCCATTAACTGATTCTGAGGTGAGTCTTTCTTCAGACTGATGATCGAGTTTAAAATAAATTTACCCCACAGGTTCCGACTCTGAGGTAACTTAACAGACGGTCTTTCTCGTGTGGGTTTAGCATCCGTTTTAACTCATGTAAAATAATACGATTTGATCATTTTTTCTGGAGTGTAGGTTTTTTGATCCTAACCCTATATTTGTGCGGTTTTCCTCAGTTATGTTTCGATTACATTGGTTTAATGCTAGAGCAGCTCTAACTGCTAAAGTAATATTAAACACAGGTAACGTAACGTTAAACTGACGGTTGAGAACTTGACCAACACAAAACCGAAGTACTTAAATGAGGCTAATTATGAAACTTCCGACGCGTCAATTCTGTCAATGTTCAGCCGATTTCTCGATTTATTTTCTCCATAAGCGGCTCAAAAATGCGGTTAGGACATGAAAAGCGCGAACGGACCGCAAAACCCCGCTCAAATCTCTGACTCTCCCGCGTGACGAACCGACAGCTCTCGAATAAAGAATAGTGCATTTTCCTTTTTCTTCATTTATCTTTAGTTGCTTAACCTTACACATGCTCCATACGTCGCGTTCAACTCCCGAATCCTACTCTACATTTAGTCTGGCAAGAATTTTAATTAGAATTAATTTGATTGTGGGTTTTCTCAACAGAACACATGTTAAAAAGCGAGGCGCAGGGCAGAGGAGTTACAAAACTGCAACAGGAGTTTTTAAATGTTGAACTTCTTTTAAACTTCTGTTTTCTTTTGAACGATTTGCGTCGTTGTTCAGAATCAGTCGATCTCTGCCGAGTTACGCAATCACGCATTAAGTGACGCACGCACGTAATTAGAGAGCAACAGCTGGAGATGACCGAGCTTCGGCTGTAAACTCATATCGCCTCCAGTCATCTTTAGTAAGTGCTGTGAGAGTTTTCTAATCGATTGTTTACAAAGCATTTGTGTTTAATGACAAAAATAACAGTCGATTATTGCCCTTGATATTGGAATCGATGTTTTTGATCGCTATAACGCAGATTAAGAGGGTCATTTAAAAAAAGTTGATTTTCAAACTTAGGTTTAAGTGAGAGTGCAGTTATATTTTGTCGTCTTTCATGAATTAAAGAAGTGTTGTAGCAACCGTGACAGTAAACACTAGTGACCACGTTTGGTTAATATAAAAATACTGATCATGCAAAATACTCCCCTCTGATCAGACTATGAACAGTAACTTATAACATTTAATTTTGTGTCAATAAAAATGTGACACAACATCCAAGATTTCACAAAAAATACAAGTTTTAAACATTTATAATGCCAATAACACAATAACACACGTGTACCAGATGAAGGGGGCTAATTGAAAAAATATATAAATATACAATAAATGACTCGGAACATGTCATTATTTAATAAACTGTTGTTGTGTTATAAAATGATGCCTTTTATTCAAGGAAAAATCTTTTGATGACTGAAAAGTCAAGGGACAGGTTTGTCAACCATACACACTCACATACAAACACACACACACAAATTGTGAATGGCTTATATACAGAAAGTGAGCAAAGAGTGCTGCGCTGCATTTATAAATGTTGAATCTGCCGGTGACTTCAGTGCAGATTTGTATCTGTCTGTCTGCTGATGGATTGACGTGAACGACACTGAACCGCTGATCAATAACTCTATTGTGTTTGTGTTGATCTGTAGAGCAGCATGGATGAGTCCGAGGCGTACAGGTAAACCCAGTGACCGCACATACGAACGCTTTCACACTAATGTCATCGTCCTCCTGATGACCTGTGTGTGTCTGTGACGCAGTTCAGAGGACGAGGACATCTCTCTGACCGGAAGTGACTTTGAGTTCCAGCTGACAACCTCTAAGAGAAAACTCAACTCAACTCAGGGAGCAGCAGTGAGTACAAACACTCACACACACGTGCACACACACACACGCACTCACACACTCACACACGCACTCACTCACACATACACGCACACACACAGACGCACTTACTCACACTCACACTCACACACACACACACACACACACACACACTCACTCACTCACTCACTCTCTCACTCACATACACATACTCACACACACTCACACTCACTCACACACACACTCATATAATATAATAAATCATATAATAAATAAAAAGAAAATGTGTTTTTAGTCGTTTCTTGAAGATGGTTAAGGACTCGGCTGCTGGAATAGAGTTGGGCAGCTCATTCCACCAGGAGGGAACAGTTAACTTAAAAGTCTGTTAAAGTTATTTTGTGCCTCTTTGGGATGAACAATAAAGCGACGTTCACTTGCAGAACGCAAGCTGCTAGAGGCACATAAGTCTGAAGTAATGAATTTAGGTAAAGGGGAGCAGAGCCAGTGGTGGTTTTGTAGGCAAACATTAATGCCTTGAATTTTATGCGAGCAGCTACTGGTAGCCAGTAGGGCTGTGACGGTTGCCGTGACAACCGCGTCACCGCAGTGGTTGTCTACTGTCACCGGCGGTAGTGCACGTGACGTCACGCACTCTATAACAAGCATAATACGACGTTTTGTATAGATGTGTAATAACAGTAATAGTTGCAAATTGTTTTATTTCGATTATAAGTCTATGGCAATTCACAAATTACCTCAAACGCCACAGAGTTTCCTTTAGATTGGCAGGTTTGAGCGCAGGAAAATACAGTTTATTCTGCATTCAGCAAATTAATTTTGTGTTGGGCGATGGACCTTGTTGGGAAACCAAATAATACATCGCCGATCTGGAGCCATCTCCATTCATGTCACCCATCTGCGTTTGTACAAGTGTTTTCAAGTTCCTGTGATCGCAAATGCCCGGCTGGTCAGGTTTGGTGAGGCTTTCTCCAAACTGGCCAATGGCTTATGGTTGAAGTGCCTAACTGGATGGTGAAATTGTGATGAAACGTTAAGTGCACAGGTTGTTAGGATTGCGCTGCCTATAGTGTGTGATGCTTGGTTTGCGAGTGGTAGTAATAGTAGGGATATGGAAAAACATAGTAAGAGTCGGTCATAAAAACTGAAACAGAAGTGAAGGAAGGTGTAAAAAAGAGGTTGAGTCAAAAGCGATACTTATGCCTCTTGTCTGTGTTCCTGCACTGTGGAGTCGCATGGTAGAGTCGATGGTGTTTACACTCTTGGGTCTTCAAACGAGGAGGTCTTCAAACGAGGGCTGCTGCGGTGTACTAACCTTTTTTATACCCGTTTGACAAAATGGAAATTTAATTTAATTCAGCTGAACACTTTACTGTTTATCACAACAAAGGGCCAAGCAAGCGCACAACACTGACAAGGTATGCGATACAGTACGAGACCAAACGCAACTTCAGCATGTCTCCACACAGACACACACACACACTCACAGACATGCACACACTCACACTCATTCACACACACGCACTCACAGACACACTCACAGACACACACACACACGCACGCACTCACAGACACACACATTCACACACACGCACACACTCACAGACATGCACACACTCACACTCATTCACACACACGCACTCACAGACACACTCACAGACACACACACACACGCACGCACTCACAGACACACACATTCACACACACGCACACACTCACAGACATGCACACACTCACACTCATTCACACACACACACACACGCACACACACGGTATGAATGTGTGTTTTAACCGTTTCTCTCTTCCTCTGGAGTCTCCTAAGAGGGTTCGTCATCCGTCAGTCAGCGGCTCCAGCCAATCACAGACACCGGAGGAGTCTCAGGGCCTCGGGCCGCGCAGCGCTCAGACGGACGGCCGTGCCACTGCCTGTCATCTGTATGAAGCTGTGCGGTCCGGCCGCAGCGCACTGCTGGTGAGAGACCACCTATGGTGATGATCGGGGGGGGGGGTTTCATATGGTCAGTCCTCTGATTGGCTATCTCTCTTAGACGGTGATAGATGATTGGCTGGAGGAGTACAGAAGAGACAGAGAGGCGGGAATTCTGGAGCTCATCAACTTTGTGGTTCAGTGCAGCGGTTGTAAAGGTGACGTCAGACACAAACATAACCGATATCACGTGTGTTTCTGAAACAAATGAATTGTGTTGTGTTTCAGGTGTCGTCACCAGAGAGATGTTCAGCCGCCTGCAGAACGCTGATATAATTAGTCAGCTGACTACAGAGTTTAACGAGGTGAGGGGAATCAACACATCACATTTCTGTTTTTGACTCCAGCCGTATAGTTTTCCCTGTAAAGGTGCGGTCACATTTACTATTGCTCTAGAAAATTTAGGGCCAGATTTACTAAACAGGGCAAATAAAACAGGGCAATCGCTTAAGAGTGCAGATGGAAGTGGAAAGTTCTGCAAGTTCTGCATTTCCATGACCAATGCAAGATCATCAAGCAGAGCTGATGATAATCAGGTGTGTGTAATCGACTAACAAAACAGGACCCAAAATGGGTTTAGACATGCTTTTTTAGATGTAAAATAATGGCGCTAATACCACTTGCAAACCTTATACTACCACTATTGCAAACCTTAGTAAATCACTTTGCATGATTGATTTAAATGCTTTCCTCACATAAATGTTGTGTCTGAAAGGCAAACTCCTACAAACACACATGCAGTAAGGTTAGCCTCAAAAATAACTGTCCTACTTTTCATCGCTAATGTTTCACTGCTGTTAGTAAATCTGGCTCTGGCTCTGGCTCTGGAATCGATGAGGGATTTCACATGATGGACGTCGGGTTTGAGTTTGGTTGAACTTTAATGTCTCCCTGTAGTGAAAATCAAGTTTTTTATGTTGTTTATTTGTCTATGTGGTGTTTTTAATATGCTTTTAGACAAACCATGTGCCAATGCATTAATCAACACAATTTTTTCTCCTTAAAACTGTAGTTTTGCTAAATGCAGTCCCAGAAATGTGGTTTGAAACAGCCCTTGTTTACTACGTCACAATTCAATAACCAATCACGTCAAGGGATAGATTCCTATCATTAGCATAACCCCTCTCTCCATTCGTACAAATGCGGCGCTCGTTTTTTTCCCCCACTGTCTCAAGGTAAAAATTAGCATAGAGATCGCTGGATTACCAGCACAAAACCAAAAATACCCATGAAGCCATGGTTTAACGTGAATTTAGAACTGCTAACTTGAATAATAACCTGCGGCAACAGTTTAAAAGTAGCCCGGAGTCAGTCGCACCTCTCCTGCATGGGTGTCCGCACTTCACTCGCATTTGCTCGCGGGCGCGAATTGGAATCACAAACTTGGCTGCATTCGAGTTTTCAAGGCATTTTGAGGACACAACATTAAGTAAGTAACCTTAACAACATTATTAGCTGTTTGATAACATAGTGAAGCCAAAGGGCTAATTATATCAATTACATGATAGTCTGACAGAGCGATAAAACGAATGATCATTCTGATACATCGACTTGTAAACGACCCTGTATAATTCTCTCTTTCTCCTTATTCTTCCGAATCAGTTTCTGGTTCAAACATATACTATATCTTAATTAAACCAATATTTCCACTTGCCATTGTATCGCGTTTACTACAGTTCAGTTAGTGGATCAGGAGGCCCTGATTGATCCCATAATAATATAGTACCCATTCATCGTATTTTGTTGTGATTCGTCTGCAACAGAAAATGTGACAGTCTGAAAGAAAAGGATTTATATATATTATGAGTATTTCTTTTAAATATAGGATTTATTTCTTGTTTTTATTTAACCTTTTTTATTGTTTAACCACACACACACCTCTCTCTCTTGTGTGTGTGTGTGTGTGTGTGTGTGTAGCCATGCGGTTGATGTCGTCGATAGTGTCCGTCGCTGCGGAGGTAAACGCTCAAGCGCTGATGACCCGGAGACGCTGTGAGCTGGAGAAGAACAAGTCAGTTGAACACAGAGCCATAGACCGAATAGAAGAACTGGAGGACTCTTACAGAGAGGTTAAACACACACACACACACTCAGTGTTATCTGATAGTGTCAGTGCCGTCGAATCAATAATATCACTGAATATATTAAGTGTCTTTTAAACCCCTTTGGTTAGACACATGGCTTTATGTGGATATACTGTATGTATGCTGATAAAGTTGGATAATTTTGCTTTATAATAGTTGTTAATTGAAGTGTAAGTCTGTAAAGGTTTGGATTTTTTACGTTTTGGTGTAGTGCCAAACTCGCTGCCATCACTAAGCAGTTCATCATCTGTGCGTCTGTGGAGAGATGGTGACTGTCATCCTGCTACAGCTGCTTCATAGCAGAATTTTGGATTTGCCTCATTTTTGAAGTTTGCATCGATTGTTACTTTGCTGTTTATTACTGTGAAGCTGCTGTATCATATAAAGTGCTGCTTTGAATCTGTATCATATAAAGTGCTGTAGAAATTAATGTGACGTGACTTAACGGTGTGTGTGTGTGGCAGCTGCTGGAGCATCAGGAGGACTTGCGCTCTCTAATGAACGGGATCTTTAAGGGTGTTTTCATTCATCGGTATCGGGACAGAGTTCCTGAAATCCGGGCCGTCTGCATGGAGGAGATGGGGGTGTGGCTCAGAGAAAACCCCGCCTCTTTCCTCAATGACGAGCACCTCAAATACGTGGGCTGGATGCTGCACGACAAGGTGTGATTAGCTTAAAAACACGTTATGTGCTGCTCTGATGATCAGATCCAGTCATATATACAACCATACTGCACTGATATATGATCGATTGTGTGTGTGTGTGTGTGTGTGTGTGCGTGTGCGTGTGCGTGTGTGTGTGTCTGTGTGAGTGTGGTGTGTGTGTGTGTGTGTCTGTGTGGTGTGAGTGTC